GGGCCCATTGTGCACGTGGGCCCACCATATTCTAGAAGGTGCACACATAAGTCCCTATCTTGGGTTGCATGCCACCTTTTTTAGGGGAGGCTTATCCTATGGGTGGCACTTCCCTTTTTTATGAGATTTGTTGGTATATTTTATCTCAAATTGGTTTTAGTTGATAAAGTATTTTATCCTTGAGAGATTTTAATAAATCTTTTAAAAAGCCTATAAAGCTTATGAAAATATATTTTGGATAGATCACAATATTTTCTTGATTAATTTTTATTTGATGGGATAATGGTTAAAGGAAATGGGGGATAATGGCTCAACACATTCCGTAATATTGATGGCCCATCTATAGAATGAATGGCTTAGATCTCTCACCGCACAAGTCACCATTGATCGACGGTTCAGATTCAATCTTGTGAGGCAAGCAATGGGAAGCCTAGACCCAATATTATATCGCTCTTTACTCTCTCATATTTTATCCAAAGAATCTTTCTCTCTCATACTGTGTCCAACTCACTCACTATGTTTTTCCTCTCACGTAACTCTTACTTTATCTCCTCCTTTTTTTTTTTTATCTCATACTCTCTCTCATCATGCTTTTTCAAGAGAAGATAACGGGGGGCACACCCCTTTCTCTCTCTCTTTCTCTCCCTAAACATTATATAAAGGGGGGCCACGACCCTTTCTAAAAGAACCATCTTCTCTCTCTAGTTTTGGGCTTTGAAAATAAATTAAAAAAGAGAAATTTTTTAAGCAAATTTTTTTTTTGGGGATTGATCCTGAAGAGTTTTGAGAGAGCATAAGGGTTCCATTGAAAAGGTTGGCCGAAATTAGCGTTTCGGGTTGAGATTGAACGAAAGTTGTCGATCATGCACCTTCGGATGGTAGTGACTCGATGTGGGTGTAATAAATCCAGTTGAGGTCTCCGATATTTTCTTTGTATTTTTTGCTTATTTAATTGCATAATCTTTATATTCTCAAGCACAAGATTTGTGGTTATTTTCTTTGATTAAGGAAAATTAGTTTAGTGACATCAAAGTTCTCAAGATTTTGGATTTGTAATGTTTTATGTTCTTTGAAGCAAGAGTTATTATAATAAGACTAATTGCAAGTGATATTTGCCAAAAGGGAAGAAAAGAAAAGGAGTGAGATGAAAAAAAAAAAGAATTCCTAGCAAGATCACCTTGGTCGAACTTTCAGGCATGTGAAGTATAAAAATAAGGGATGTAACTTATTCAACCCATAGACAAACACTTGGATTATATGAATAAGTTTTTATTTGTACTCTCTATGCACTTGAGAATAATAGTGTCTTAATAATGAACGAAAGACAACCTGTTTTTCGGAGTGTTAGGTATAAAAATTATAAAACTCCAAGTTCAATATATTTTTTATAAAAACATCCATCTAAAGGTTCTCAAATGGTTTCCAAAATTTCAAAAAAAAAATCTGCCTAAGTAGTTATTCCAAAATTTCAAAAAAATTTGCCATAAAGGGCTTTGAGATTTAAGATTATTGTACTTGAATAAGTTTAATAGTGGGTCATAACCATTAACTTAGTATTGCAATTGTATGTGGTATGTGGACAAAAGGGATGCTCTTATTGGTCTGTCCAATGTTTTGTTAAACAATCTTTAAGTTTGTTTCAATACTCATGTAAATATATTAATCAAATACGCATTAAATTTTGATAACCATTACTTGGGCTCACAATTAACATCTTAGACTCTCGTGCAACTTCCAGGGCTCTTTGTAGTACTCCAATATCCTGCAAAACAAGTACAAAGGAAAAAAACAGTGGTTAGGAAAATAGTATGGTCATAAGCATTGTTCTAAGACTCGTCTGAGGTCACTCGGACTCGAGTGAGCAACTCGGCCTCTCACCGTATAAGTGAGGCAGACAATTTTGGGCGAGTCTGTTGTACGCCATGTTTATATTTGTATTAATACGTCAAATTTTAGTCATGTTTATTCGAAGGGTTATATGGATTGCATCAGTGCATAAGTCCTAGCTTGATTAAGGTTCGAATTCTGCTAGTTGATATTGTTTTTTCAAAGACTGTCTTTTTTTTACATGATAGAAGTTCAACATTGTTTTTTCGAATACTGCCTTTTTCTTACATGATAGAAGATCTTAAATACGTCAAATTTTAATCATAAGTCCTAGCTTGATTAAGGTTTTAATCCCGCTAGTTGACATCGTCTTTTTAAAAGACCTGTTTGTTTTTTTACATGATAGAAGTTCAACATCGTTTTTTCACAGATATGATAGAAGTTCAAAAAAAAAATGTAGGCCCCAATATTCGAACCCTGAATCTCATGAAGTCCTATGTCACGTATTATAACCAATGCGCAATTATGTGATTGTAAAACACTGCTCACTATTTATTTTCATTTCCATTAATAAATAATAATAAAAAAAAAAAACGAGCTAGATGAGTTACTGTGGAGTCTGGATCAAGTAACTTCGCTCACTAGTTATAAGAAAGACCAATTTGTATAGCTATATAATTAATTATTTTCTATTCTCTTAAAAAAAATCCGTTTTTTAAGGGCAAGGGTTACTTAATAAGGGGTCTCTAGAAAATGGCATTGTCTGACCTTGGGGACAATCAACTGAGGACTTTGATTCCTATACTTAACGAATCTCGATATTAGAACAAGAGGAACTCCATTACATAACAAACATAAACCTCGATCATTTAACCAGGGGAACTCGTACTAGCTCTACTTGACAATCTCGTTTTTATGAATAGTGGAGCTTCAGTTTTTTTCGTTTAAAACCTCGAACCCATTGACACGGTATCTCACTCCCATAAACCTAAGGATCTCGTTTCCTTAACCAAGAGAACTCGTACTAGTTCTACTTGACAATGTCGTTCTATGAATAATAGAGCTTAGATTCTTGCTGGAAAAAAGCTCGAACCCATTGACATGGGATTTCGCTCCCATAAACCTAAGGATCTCATTCCCTCTCTTGGTAATCCCAAACGCATGGACCTTTAGCAACAGGGCAATTCGGCGATTCCTAAACCGATCCCGCTCCCGTCTCTAACAACTATACTCTAAACTAGAACTAGAATTTCTTTTCTGAGTCTTGGCTTGCCCAAAATTGGATGAAGCACATACTGAGTGAAAAATTACCCTTTGCTATGAAAGTTGCCTTCAATTACTTACGACATATAAGTGCTCTCAACTATCATAAAATTATCTTGTTATTACCTTTTGAACTTGAGAATCGGGATCACCTCCGATATAACCATATATACTTCTTGCAAAATGAATTTTAACGCCTTAGGTTGCATCAAAGAGTACAAGGTTGCAATTCAAAAACCAAACTGATAGGAGGATGTAGGTCCATAGAAACTATAGAGGGGGAGAGTATTCATCCCAACTCTTCAATTAGCCCAAGCATCATACATTAGTATACCATGCCATACAATCCCGAGCATAATGGGTTAGTGGAGAGACATAATATGACTTTGATAAAAATAGTGAGGAATCTGATATGGCATGCTACCTTATCTTTAGACTTTCGGGAGAAGTAATTTCGACAATCGGGTATATCCTTAATAGGCTCCTATAAAAGTAGTCATATTAACACCATACTAGATGTTCAATAGTCAAGCTTCATCCAACAACCATCTAAGAATTTGGGATGATTTTTTATGTCTTAGTTCCTGTTGAAATTGTGGCCTTTGAGGCCATTTTAATCAAGATATCCTATTATTATGGGCATAAATATATTACTTAATAATATCATTGTCTTGATATGTTCGTACAAAAATATAAATATTACTAGGTCTTTACTGAATTTATAATTACAAACATATAAATATTGAGGATTTCAACACCTTTTTTGGTATTCTTCCTAAAATAAAGCGGATACTTTTCGTATATCACATCGCCATTAACGTTCCGTGTCGAAAAGCAGCAATCTTGTTTCATCTTCACAATTCAAATAACCACAATTAATTTGCACCTATATTTTCTATTTTGGGTGAAAATTTATTCTCTTTCTCTCTCTCGGCTAAGGTTTATGCGGAGATCTCCAATTGCTACTATGTTAATGACTCAACTTTCTCAACATCCTCCCTACAAACAACTGTTTAAAACATGAAAAAAATCCAGTACCATTTTCTTTAACACTTTCGCTCTAGTCACAGGTAAATGAACAAAAGACCCCTCTTTGTCTTATACCCACATTTTCATAGTGCCGGTCTAATACCATGAAATCAATGCGTCAGACTTTTATCTTTCCTAAATATTTTTTTTATGCCTGACTGGACTCATTTTTCAGTCATATTTTTATCGGGATCAATATGGACTCAGTTTTTGGTCGAGAAATGAATAAAAATAAAATAAAAACATAGTGTCGTAAACATGGGCCAAATGGGGATATTTTGGCCCAAACGAATTTTTGAATTGGGGGACAGTTGAAAAGTCAAACAACACAATTTTTATATTTTTTGGTGCTTTAAAAAGAGGACACCGTTTGTTTGTCTCCATAATATCCAACTGAGTCAACTCTTAAAAATCTATTTTTGAGATGAATTTTCATACTCAATTTTTAAGGGCACGTAATCTCTAACACGAAGATCATGCATATAAATAAATAAACAAATTTTACAAAATAAAAACAATGAATTTACGAAAAAAACATTTAGACCGTTTCTGGAAGACAGTTAGATCGAGACGGTTGGTAGATTGGAAGCGATGCTTCTATATCTAGGTGTCCATTGAAGAGTTTTATGCAATTTTCGCCAGGGTTTTGAGGAGGAGGAGGGGAATTTTAGCGTTTCTAGTTCCGGGTTTGGACTTTTCAGAGGCGAAGTAGCAAGAGCATTATCCGTAGAGAACATTTTTTTTAGCTGATTGCTCAAATGGAGGAACTGCTTGTGTTTTCTCTTGATTTTTAATGATTGAACTTATTTTTATGCGTGGTTTCAGAAGGAGGAGGATTGGTTCTGGTAGGTTTGGTTGGAGGAGTATCAAATGGCTTTGAGGATAATGAATGGGATTCTGCTGGTTTTGCTCGCCTTTTTTTGTTGGGAAATGCTCGGATCTGAGGCACAAAGTTTGCCGCGGAGTGAATGTAAGATTTTCCTTTTTAAGTATCTGTGAAATGATTCTTCTTCAAATGGTGAAGTGACTGTGGTGAATATGAGGTTTGAATGGCTCTGATTTGGCTATGGTTGTTGTTCTTTGGAAAATTTCGAGAGAATCAGTAGTTTTATGATAGAAAAGCGCTTTTGAACTACGTGCATGTACTTCTTTTCTGTAAATGATATAGCCTACTGCTTGGTTTGATACATTTACCACGATATACTTCCCTTTCTGTAATTATCTGTTGATTATGAGGCATTTCGGGGTTCATGCTCTGCAAAAGTTAGTTTTCTTTGTTGATTTACGTGGAAATATAAGATCATCAGTTCACTTGTGAGAAAATCATGCCGAACTAACGGAAATTTGTTAATTCCTAACGCATGCATTTTGAATGTCAAGCTCTTTACTCCAATCTAGATCCTATTGTTACTTTTTGTCGAGGATTGCTTTAGCTTGCTAATAGTCTGGCTTAAGTGTTCTTTCCTAGAGTTATACACTGTGAAGTTACACGGCTCAGGCTTGGACTCGAGCAAGTACATTTTGACCACTAAAAGACCTCAAAATTGCAAAAGAATTGCAAAAAAAAATGTTAAAAATAAAAAAGCCTTAAAAAGCCAAAGAAGTTGCAAAATGAATTTAAAGTTAAAAAAATAAAAAAAATTAAATAGACAATGGAATATTGGAAAATTAATTTTAAGCTTGAAACTATTCAGGAAAATCCAAAAAAGGGAAAAATAGAAAAATAGAGGATAGAACAAAAAATTCACAAATCATCATAAAAAACATAGAAATAATATAGAAAACATATTAATGCATCTTTGATTGATATTAGTAGAAAGGATATAATTTTTTAAGATCATTTCGTAAGCCCGAGTTTGAAAAATTCACTTCTGTAGGGTGCTAAGGGCAAGTAACTCCACTGGGTCTGTGTCTATTTAGCTTAGCATTGGAGCGCTGGTACTGTATGTAATGTATTTTTTATCTGAACACCTACTAAATAATTACTTCTGATGATATCTGGTGTTTTAAGGTACTCAGTTAGTTTGGTAGCTTTTATTAATTATTAAGGGTTTTTGGCTTTAACATTATGATTATGGTTTTGTTTTATTGACGAAAGAAAAAAAAAAAACATTCTGGCACTATAGTCAACCATAAAAAAAAGAAATCATATTATGCTGCTTCAATTCTAGGTGTTGGTGCCTGATATATCAGAGTTTGCTTAATTCATTTGCAATTCATTTTGTGAGCAGACTGTTTTTTGAGGAGCTCTACTTCATGTTCATGCATAAATACACATTATATTTTACTATCTATATAGTGCACTAGGATTACCTCTTGAACTTTTTATTAACTCTTTTGCGAGGGCTAGACTAGACTTTGCGGTAAAAGTTGCCTTTGGGCAGTTTATTATAATGATGGTTCCATTGTGTTTGTTTCTTAGAAGTGTATGACAATTGTGCCAACTTGGGAATGCAGACTCATTTTCATTCATATGGATATATGGGTATTTGGGTGGTCTGACCAACATATCTCTCTTAACTGATCAAAACATTGCAGCCTTTCCTTCTAGGCCAAAAACCCCTTTCAAGATGAGAACTTCACGATATTATGAGTTGATTTCTTTTCTTCTTTTCAGTTTGCATGTTTTACTTTTGTTCTTATTGCATCTTTCTGCCCAACTGGGTGTCATATTAGTGGTTTATTTGTTATTGTTAAATGAAAAGCTGGTTGAGCATATTTAGTCACATCCAATAGGACTGGTGTATTATGATTCACCTTTAAGAATTCTTGGCTTCTAATCATCACATTTAACATGCTCTTCCAGGGCATATGCTCATCTTTAAAAAAAAAAAAAAAAAATCAAAATAGCAGCCTCTTAACTATAAATGGAATGGGATGTTATCAACAAGAAAATAGGAAGAAGAATAAGGCTAGGTGATTTTTTCACATGCACAAAAGATTGGTATGCATTTGTATAACTCACACACGAGGCAAGTTTCTTGCTAGCAATGATGACAAAAGCCTGCAGTTTTCGTGAATTCTTATAGTTGAGGGATTCGTTTGACAAGAATTTATGATTGCCTTTAGTAATTTTTAAAGAAATATGGTTTTTTGGGTCCGTTTTGTTAAGAGTGTTTGATGAAGCCATTTGTGATTGATTCTTTGGATCAATGTTCAAAACAAGGCTCGAACTGGGGATGTGATGTTCCAAACTCTGAGTCATCTGTATATGCTCGTCTTTAAAAAAAAAAAATCAAAATAGCAGCTTCTTAACTATAAATGGAATGGGATGTTATCAACAAGAAACAGGAAGAAGAATTAGGCTAGGTGATTTTTTCACATGCACAAATGATTGGCATGCATTTGTATAACTCACACACGAGGCAAGTTTCTTGCTAGCAATGATGATAAAAGCCGGCAGTTTTCGTGTATTCTTATATTTGAGGGATTCGTTTGACAAGAATTTATGATTGCCTTTAGCAATTTTTAAAGAAATATGGTTTTTTGGGCCAGTTTTGTTAAGAGTGTTTGATAAAGCCATTTGTGATTGATTCTTTGGATCAATGTTCAAAACAAGGCTCGAACTGGGGTCATCTGTACAGACTCGAATGAGTCTATACAGTCATATTATTAAAATATAGGAACTTGCTGACTTTGCACCTTGCCAATTCCGATTATCTCGGGCCAGTTCACCAGATCTGCTCGTCTTTTAGAATACCTGCTTTGGATTTTTTAGTTGATTCAATATCCTTGTCCTCAAGCTCTTTTCATTTTTGTGGCAGTTCTTGGAAGGCCCAAAATCTATCTGGATAATTCCTAAAGACTTTGTTAATCTAACTCACCTTAATGTACTGTAAGTGTTCAACATCCTTAGCTTTGTATTTATCAATGGCCTCAAATAGCATCAATACAAGCGAAGTTGTTATATTTATGAATGAATCCTTTGAAGTGAAATATTCTTTTAAGTTCAGGAACTAGTCATTGGTAATGAATTACTTGTCTATTTTAGATAATATAAACTAGTTACATTGTGTGTGGCATGTGTTAGGTCTCAAACAACCTAAAATTCAACAATGAAATAAAATGGCCTTGAATCCTTTTCACCTGTTCTTTGTCATGCATTTCTTTCATCTATTAAGTCTATGTTTTATTTTTGTACATGTACCCTAGAAGAATAAGGCTTGATATAATATGTGTTAGCTGGGGCTCCTTGAATGGCAGTTTTCATGGAGCTAAGGCTGAATCTGGAAATTGTTTCTGGAATTAAATCATGATAATGCGGGTTCGGCTTGTGTGCAAATATTTTTGTTTTAATATTGAGTTAATTTCCTTGTATATGCATTTCAAGTGAGTGTCATTTGTTACATAAGTTAGTCGTTTCTTCTTTATGTCATCCTAGAGTTTCTTATTTTCCTATGTTTCCTGTGAAGATAGATGATTCCATGGTAGTTTCGACAGCAAGTTTATGGGTCAGCATGTGTAACTTCACCCTCACCACCACTCATGTACTATAGGGGTATTTTCTTCTTCTAAGTTATATATTTCTAGACTTCATTGTATGTTGAAGGCCCTCTCATGTGTCACGATCCTCTGAATTTGGAGGTTGGATCTTCTTTAATGTAGTAGTTTGACTGCAAATTCAATATCCTGCTGAGCTGGCCTACCCATTTTCTTTAATAAAACTGGCATGACAGTAGGTTGTTGGAGAGCTTCTCCATTACCTTGGTTTACCTGGGATCGGCAGTTGATAGGATGATGGCCAATTGGAATGCAACAGACAATTAATTTGCAAGTCAAAAACTGAAGTTGTTTCTTCCATACTTTTGCTAAGTATTAGTTGTTTCTCGAGATATGAAGTCTTGATTATTTTCCTTGCTTCCTTCCAATGAACAAATCGACAATCTCAAATATGTGCATTCTTAATAAGTATGCATGCTTCCTTGTTGTGAACAAGTTTATAATCCCACTATGATCTCCCTGTCCTTGAAACAATGATTTCAGGCAAGTGTGCAGCACTCGTCATAATAATACAATTGTGGTGGCTTTAATTGTTTAATCCCAGCTCTTGGAACAGTTGATGAGGCCAAATTATCTTTGAACTGGTAGAAGTCATCCCGTTGAATAACGTCTTTTGAGAAAGAATTTCAAAATTTTTTCGTGCTCCTCAATCTTTGAGGCTTTCATACTTTTTCTCATGAAAATATTGTATCTTGTTGTAGACTTTGTTATCTAGACATCTTTGAAAGTTAGCATTCAGATATCTAGAGAAAGCCTATGGCATCGTATCTCAAGTTTTAATTAGGTAGGTGTTGGAAGAGAAAAGAGTCTCCAAATACTATATTGATTAGGTAAGGGATACATATGAGGGAGCGCTAACTAGTGTGTGAACAACTATTAGAGAGACGAATGAGTTTTAAGTGAATGTAGGTTTACATCAGGGGTCAGCGCTGAGCCCATACCTATTTGTCTTGGTTATGAACGACTTAACTAGGCACCTAAAATATGAGGTACAGTGGTGTATGTTGTTTGTGGATAACATAGTTTGTATTGATGAGTCCCGATGTGGCATCAACACAAAGTTAAAACTTTGGTGGGATACTCTAGAATCTAAAGGTTTTAAAATTAGCTGGATTAAGACAGAGACTATGGGATGCAAGTTAGTAATAATAGGAGTAGAGACAAGAAAGTAGTTAAGATCGACGGCCAAGAATACCAAAATGAGTGCACTTTCGGTATCTTTGATGAGATTGACGAAGATGTCTAGCATAGAATTAGAGATGGGTAGGCACAGTGGAGATGTGAACCTGGAGTTTTATGTGATTTCCGCATATCAATGAAGTTGAAGGGTCAGTTGTAGGACCAACTTTGCTTTATAGGGCAAAGTTTTGGACGGTCAAGAAACAACATACCCATAAGATGAATGCAGCTGAGATGAGGATGTTGATATTGATGAGGCCAAGACAAGAAAGGATCAAATTCGAAATGGATACATTCTGGAGAACTTAGGTGAGGCTCAAATAGGTGATAAGATGAGAAAATGTAGACTGAGCTGGGCTAACCATGTGTAGCTAAGACTTAGTATGGCACCTGTTAAGGAGTGTGAGTTGGTTCAAGTGTAAAGCTTGAAAAGGGTAAGTTGTTGGCGCAAAAGAACATGGTTGGAAGTAGTGAAAGAAGATATGGGGACTTATGGCCTCACTGAGGATATGGCCCTTGATAGAGCAGAATGGTAGACATGAAGATGTTGATATTGATGAGGCCAAGACAAGAAAGGATCAAATTCGAAATAGATACATTCTAGAGAACTTAGGTGAGGTTCAAATAGGTGATAAGATGAGAAAATGTAGACTGAGCTGGGCTAACCATGTGTAGCTTAGACTTAGTATGGCACCTGTTAAGGAGTGCGAGTTGGTTCAAGTGTAAAGCTTGAAAGGGTAAGTTGTTGGCGCAAAAGGACATGGTTGGAAGTAGTGAAAAAAGATATGGGGGCTTATGGCCTCACTGAGGATATGGCCCTTGATAGAGCAGAATGGTAGACAAGGATTCGTCTAGCCGACCCCAAATTGTTGGAAAAAGACTTTGATGATAATGATGATGGTGATGATCGCGATATCCATAGGACTCTCTATTGAACATGAGATTCCCTGCCTTGAGTTGCACTTTGAGTGTACGTTTGCATGTTTCCATAAGTCTGATGCTGGTTAATATTCCAATTACGGAAGAAAAGGGTTTTTAAGAGGATTTTAAGTTAGCATTAGAAAGAGGGATTTTATGGTAAATGCATCATTGAACTGGTGACTCTCTTAAACAGTGTATTGGACTAAAATCTAGTTTTTCTGGAGTTCAAATGAAATACAATAATGGTTGGAGTTACTAGAAGTGAGTGGTCTGCCCAAACAGGTGCTGAGTATCAGAAAATTCTTTATGTGAAGTAAGGTCTGTTTCTGTTTTGAGAACCTGACAAACAAGCTAGAGTTCAGAGGAGTTATAATCTAGTCAGTGGCACCATAGAAGATAGATCTGGTTGTGCATATAAATTGTGTGTAGTTCTTTAAAGAAGAGGAAAGCTTAAAGGGTCAGTCACCGTGCCGAGAAAGAATCTAGTCAGTGGCACCATAGAAGGTAGATCTGGTGGTGCCTATAAATTATGTGTTGTCCTTTAAAGAAAAGGACAGCTTAACTGTGCCAAGAAAGAAAGTAGAGACAATGGCTGTTCTGGCTATGAAAATAGTAACTCAAAAGAGTTAATCTTGATAAGGTACCTCATGACTACAAAAGGTTTTTGTGGTAGGAAGCCATGGGCATATTCTTTGATAAATTAAATTGCTGTACTCATTCTCAAATTCCATGCTGTGAATGCACAAACCGCCAGATTATTGAGGTAGATATCATCACTTCATTCAAAAGCATGTAGTGAAGTACTATTATAACATAGTTTATAATGTTTGAAGATTGTCTAGCAGATATTATGTTCAACACCTCATTTGGTCAAATCTTTCTACTATGCATATGCATTTCTCTAGCAACAACAAAGAAGGTTATAATTGGCATCGCAAGAGACTCAAAACAAATGTTTAGGTCCATTTCAAGGTTGGAACTACCTACTCCAACATAGAGATGCAAAATTATCTTGAAAAAATTGTCTATTTGGAAAAATCAGTGAATGCATAAAAAAATTGGACGAATTTGGGCTAGTTAAACTTTGAATTGCTGCTTTCTTAATAGCATGTTGTCATGGTGATTGAGGTTGCCTTTTGCAATTCAAGTTTATTGGCTCAACGTTTTAAATAATATGTCGCACACACATATATCTGAGACTAGAATTTTGGAACTGACTATGAAATTTTTTTAGGCTTGACAGGGATTTTTCACGCAATTATCTAAATGGTTCTATTCCTGAAGTTTTGTCTCGCCTGCCTTTGGTCCAGTTGTAAGTTCAAGCTTCAGTTGCTTCATGTCTATCTATCTAGATGTCCATCTAGTGAAATATTTTTGTGTTACAAAGATGTTCATGGTATGGTGAAGTTTGTTTTCATGTTACGGTTTTCTGGATGTTTGGTGCCCTTCTTGTTGGCGTGTGAAAAACATTTGAATGGGTAAATTCTTTGTCTATTTGTCAAGGGTTGAAGGAACATTTTCATTTCAATTTATATGGATATTTCTTAATGGCTAACGATCAAAGACGACAGATACCCAGGTCCTTCATAGGGAATATCCTTTCTATTAGATGCACAATGTACTTCTAATTGCTTCGCAAAAAAGGTAATATCTATCTCCTTTAAAAAACTGCCCTCATTTGCTGTTGAAATCTATTTTCTTAATAGGGAAATTTATCAAAATGCACATAAAGTTGGATTGTTTAACTTTTTACCCAAAGTGTAATTTGATAAATTTAAAAACTATTTTGATGTGTCATTTGATGGTCTATTTGAAATTTGTTCGAAAGAATGATGATGTTAAATTGTTCAAACACTAATGTCTAATTTGATAAATTTCCTTTATCAATAACATGAACTGGAGAGAGAAATGGGAGGGATGGCATTTGACTGACCAAAAAAATCAAAATTTTAAAACTATAAAGTACTTATCATAAAAACACAAGACTCAAATAGTTTTTTATGTCAATGAATATAAAAATATTAAATACAATAAATTAAAGAAAATGTTGAATGAAGTTAATATTCAATAGCTATAGAAGTAAATATTTTATGAGTGAACAATTAACTAAAATCCAATAAAGAGTTTTTTATTTAAGATAAATATTTAGCATTATTTTTTATCTGGAGAGCATGATGCAGTGCACAAACATAATTGTAATAAGATTTTATTTGTCCATTCGATAATTTTAGAGGCCTTGCATATAATGTAAAATGTTGTCTTGGACACAAAACTACTTGTAGAAGGTCTCACATTGAATAGAAAGCTTCCAGCATCATCAACATCCTCTCTCTCTACTCCACTTGCACATCAGCAACACTCCTCATTTCTGCATATAAGAGTAGAACATAATAACTGCCAATTGTGCTTCCACTATGGAAAGGTTACAACAGAACTGAAGTCTTTGATGGAAGAAAAGATAATATATTACGAGGAAAGTGGGTATTTTATCATTTCATCATTCTGATTGATCGAGTATTTGGGTTGTAAATGGAGGTAGAAAGCATGTACTAATGCCGCACTCTCAGTTATAATCATAGGATAGGAGGTTTGCAATAAATGATTATACTTGAAAAAATATGTGACATTGTTGTCTTTTCTGTAATTCTTGGTTTGCTTTATTATGACTAGAAAGGATTATGGTTGTATCTCCATCTTTTCTGGCAACTACAGCTGATAGTTGCCTCTGCTAAGCCTACTAGAGAAGGTGTTCTGACTGGTTGCAGCCTTCATTTTCATGAATAGGAATTTCTCAATTTTAGACTTTAGTTGTTGCTATGGCAAGCTAAAAGTAAACACTTACAGATGCAGTGATTTCCTGCAGGGATATATCTAACAACAACTTCACAGGTGCTACTCAGTCAACCATTTGTCCATCCTCAGACCCGTAAGATTACTTGCTAATTTTAGTTAGTTCTTCTTTATCATCCTTTTTGGTTTGACTTGAGTCACCAAAATAGAAACAAAAAAAAGCACTTCGTCGGTTTTCTGCCATTCCTGCTGTGAATTCTCTCTCTTTCTCTCCAGGAACATGCTTGCAAGCTACTCTTCTGTACAGGACAAATTGTAAGCTCACTGTCGTCTCACCAATTCTTGAGATTCTAGCACCACTACACTGCTTTTATTGAATTCTCTTAGTTTTTATAGACAATCAAGGAAATATATTTCTGAGATACTTTCTTTGCTGCAGAATCCGGCCATGCCTATGAAAAGGTTTCCCTTGTCCTGTAGAACCAAAAAGTAAGTATTTATTTTTCTGCTTCACATCACCAATCTTGTATATATATGTCTGTGTGTGGGTGTATGTGTATGTGTGTTTGTGCACAGGTGCGCATGCTTTCTCTTGTACATGTTTGTTGTCTTAGTTCCTTCAGGCTAGCTATTATGGCACTTAAGTCTTTCCTTTCTGTTGGGTATGATATTAGGCTACTGACATTATATTCGTGGCAGATTACAAGCTGTTTATAAATTGTGGAGGCAGAAAAATAGCTATTGATGGGGAGGAATATGAAGAAGACTTGGTAGGAAAAGGAACTAGTATGTTTGATGACAGGGAGAAGTGGGCTGTTAGCAGCACAGGGACCTTCATGGACAATGATGGTACTCTTCGTGATATTTAAGTACCCAGGAGTATGTCCAATCTTTTAGCCCAGTAAAACACTGAGTTGTACCGTACGGCACGTGCTTCTGCCATTTCCCTTTCATATTATGGGCTTTGCCTCCAGAATGGTAGCTACACTGTTGACCTCCATTTTGCTGAAATACAATTCACTGATGACCACACTTTTAGCAGCCTTGGGAAACACATATTTGATGTGTATATTCAGGTAATATGTCTTATTAATGTTTTCTTTTTTTTCTTCTTCTTTTATTTCTGTGATACTGTATTTCTATTTTTCCTATTTTGTTATCCATCGTATCATTGAATAATTTTTCTGAAATGTAGGGCAAGAAAGTACTGACTGATTTCAACATAAGGACGGAAGCAAAAGGTACAGGTATTGGTATCAACAGAACCTTCACCACTGATATTACAGATCACACTCTGGAGATCCACTTCTATTGGGCTGGAAAAGGGACCACAAGCATCCCTTGGAGAAGTTTCTATGGCCCCCTCGTGTCAGCCATTAGAGTGACACCTAGTAAGTTACTCTTGTTTTAGTTTTACTAACCATCATTCTGGGTTTTAGTTTTACTAACCATCATTCTGGGTTTCACTGGCAAGTATATTCTCAGTGTCAGTGTCTGATTTAGTGTTATACTTCTAGATTTTATCCCAGAGATTGATGGTGATGACAAGTTTTCCACTGGAGCTATTGTTGGGATTGTGGTTTGTTCTTGCTTTGTGGTCTTCTTAATTTTGGCCCTCCTTTATATGAAATGCTATCTGGGAGGCAATGATAAAGAGAACAAAGGTAAGGTGGGAATATGTTTGAGGGATAATGGGTGTGATTTTGGACAAAAACAGCAACGGATTCAATATTATCCTTTGTGACACTTGTAGTTTTGGAATAGATATTGCCCAAAAGTTTTGGAAATGTCAATGTGCCACCTCATTGGGCTATATATGTTCCAAAACTATGCTGAGAATGTTGCATTGTTTCCTTATGGCCTGATAATGAGTTGCACAAGTGAAGGGTCAGGATATTGAACCTTTTTATTTGCTGGGCTCGTAAGATCTAAGTGTTAGTTGATGTGTTAAAGGGGAATAAAAGTCGGAATTATAAGTTATATGATTAATTTAACCAATTATTTTTTTCTTTTTGGACAGAATTAAGAAGCCTTGAGCTTCAAACAGGTTACTTTAGCTTAAAACAAATCAAAGCTGCTACAAAGAACTTTGATCCTGCAAATAAGATTGGTGAAGGTGGTTTTGGGCCGGTTTACAAGGTACATCTGCAATCGCTATGAAAAGAAGAAAAATGGAAGAAATCTCTCTGCTGCTAATGTTGATTAAAGTTGTTTCCAAGCTATTTCTCAATGAGCATTTTCTTTGTTCCCCTTTGCGTTTCTAAATTTTACTTGCACTCATTGCTTTTCCTTTTAAATTTTTCCAGAACTAGCAAATAGAGGAAAATTTGCTGTAAACTAATTCACTGAGACGTACCTCTTGCGTCATAATTCAAATTCTGCTTTAATTATATGCATTGTTTCTATTTGTGTGTGAAGGGTGTCTTGCCAGATGGATCAGTCATTGCAATTAAACAACTTTCATCTAAATCGAAGCAAGGGAACCGTGAGTTTGTCAATGAAATTGGCATGACTTCTGCCTTGCAGCACCCAAATCTTGTAAAGCTATATGGTTGTGGTATAGAAGGCAATCAGTTATTGCTAATCTACGAATACATGGAAAACAGCTGTCTCTCACGTGCTCTCTTTGGTATGCTTGTTTCCATTATCTCTTCTTTTATGGTGTGTTTATGCTCATATGCTGAAAAAACCGATTTGGCTGGTCATCTGACTTAGTGTATTTGGGGATATGCAGGTCAAGACGAGTCCCGGTTGAATCTGGATTGGCCTACAAGACTCAAGATTTGCAAAGGAATAGCAAGAGGCCTGGCTTATCTTCATGAAGAATCAAGACTGAAAATTGTTCACAGAGACATCAAGGGCACCAATTTTCTCAGAGACTGAAAATTGTTCACAGAGACTGAAGAATCAAGACCGAAAATTTTTCATAGAGATAAGGATTTAAATGCCAAGATATCTGATTTTGGTTTGGCAAAACTTGATGAAGAGGAAAATGCCCACATCAGCACAAGAATCGCTGGAACAATGTAAGTAACTGATATATAATTTTTCTTAGTAACTTTTTTCTCATGTTAATCCAAAATAAGGTATTTTTTTTTACCATAGTAAAGTTGTAAAGGTGACCTGGTATTAAATTTACTTTTGGAGTGATTGCTCAGAGGATGGCTATTCTGGTGTTTCTCATTTAGGATTAATGCCTTATGTACTGTGGCCCATGGTCCAGGGGTGTGGCACCGGTTTACTCATAAGTTGGAAGCTCATAGAATCCAATATCGAGTAGGTTCTTACTGCATGGATTATTTCATTTAAATTTTATCACATTTTTTTTTTCAGAGGATATATGGCTCCTGAATATGCAATGCGAGGTTACCTAACAGACAAAGCAGACGTATACAGCTTTGGTATCGTGGCTCTTGAGATAGTGAGCGGGAAGAGCAACACAAATTACAGGCCAAAGGAGGACTGTGTTTATCTTTTAGATTGGGTATGCAACTCAGGAAGCGTGTTTTTTTCACAGAGTGCACACACATGCACATACACATGCAAGATATATACTTGTTTGGAGTTTTATTATTTTCACATTAGTTGCCTGCTCTAATGTATACTTGTTTCAAGTTTTATTATTTGCACACAAGTCTCGACATGTTCTATTTTGCTTTTATACGTTTACTTTTTTCACGTGCAAGTCGCAAGTAGTTGTTAAAATCTTTTACATCAGGCCAAATTTCCAAATGATTATAGTGATGTCTTCTGTCACATTTGTTCATAAAATGGCAGTATATGATTTGATTCCATAAAGTGTCATTATTTTACATTTCTAGTTAATCTGGAACTTAAATCTGTAATCCATTGGTTTGAAAGCTATTTCATGCTACTTGAACTGCACACTTGGCTCAATCCTTGACTATGTTGGAAATGATGAGAATTTACTGTTGGGGACCATGAAACGTCTATTCAGGGTTGTCAGTTGATTGCCATGGCTTTTCCCGTGACAGTAACTTGACTCTTATAACATCAATCTTCAAACTTTTTATTTTGGTTTGGTTTCTAATAAACGTCAATGGTTTGGGGGAGAAATTCAGTTTTCATAAGAAAAGTATAATCATTATTTATAAATGAGCAAAATGGGGCAACTACATGAGTTGGGTGTCCTTCATTAGTACAAATAGTTAACTATATCTCATCCCAAAAAAATGAAAAAACACACTAATACAAGTTATTGGAGAACCCCAAAAAATGAAAAAACACTCCAATACAAGTTATCGGAGTACCTTTGATATTTCAACTTATCATAACTGACACTATCAGTGGATTACCATTGTTTCTTTGGAGAGATGAAGATCATGACATTCATTCTCTATTTATGAGGAGAAAGCAAATTAATAGATTTCCAAAGATTACTTTGTTCCAAAATGATTGAAATTCTTATGAATGATGACATATTGTGAAATTTACTTTTACAATGAAATTGAATACTTCCAATGCACATTTCAATATGGTCCATTCATAGAGCTATTTCATAGTAATTTTCTCAGTATTCTCGTCTGACTCCCTTGTTTTGGGGTTCATTACAATTCAAACTGGGAGACACTCAATGTTGCACCGGTTCAAACCCAATTAACCCACCGGGAAAAGAAATAAAAGACCTCCCTTGCTGTTGAGCTCTTAGAAAAACAATCATTTATTTCTTGGAACCACTTTGGATTACAGATATCTATTTGTAAATTGCCGGCTTATGTGCTACAAGAGAAGGGTAGCCTCCTAGAGCTAGTGGACCCAGAGTTGGGGTCAAACTATTCCAAAGATGAAGCTCTAAAGATGCTAAATGTGGGCTTCCTGTGTACAAACCCTTCTCCCACGCTCCGCCCTTCTATGTCAGCCGTTGTGAGCATGCTTGAAGGAAATGCCAATGTGCAGGCCCCACAACCAAGGTCTGGCTCTACAAGTGAGGAATGGAGGTTCAAGGCTTTTATAAGTATTTCACAAGACAACCAGAGCCAGACTTTGTCCACAGAGGGCCCAACAAGTGGATACTCTGGGCCATGGATTGCATCTACTGTTCCTCTCTCTAGCAAGGAAGAAGTGAGCACAAAAAGCCACCTACCTCATCTTATAGATATTAGTGGAGATTAGGTATATGTAGGGAAGTCTCTTGAATGCTTTTGTCTTGCTATCATTATTTTGTAAGATATGTTGTAATTTGTTGTTTAGTATTGTAATGTTGGCTTTAGTCAGAATGATAAGAACTAGTGAAAATGGTGCAGATTGGGTGGGCTTTTCCCGCCTTGATTTGCTGATGCTTTATCTTCCCCCAGTTTTGTGATTTTATTTGCCTTGTCGATATATGTATTAAATTCTACTTATGGCTGATTGTAGTTTTGGACGCTTTGCATGTTCTCACTCCCCACCAATGTATTTTTGTTATCATCACCTGAGGTGATTACTTGGGGTTTTATAGTGTAGCATACATATGCTTTATTATAATAAAACTTCAAAGAGATGTAATACAAAGTTTGCAAGATACAACAGAATGTTCGATCTGGAAATAACAGAAAGAAGAAGAAACACCATACCTATAAAAGCATCTTAGTTTCTTCGAAATGAAGGGTACATAGAGAGGCTTGGAGGTAACAAAGAAAAGCTAAAGAACAATAGGAGAATCAAATTTGTGATATTTAAATGATGGGATGAAGAAAACATTTTTCTTCATAGTGTAATACAATAAAGAATCCAAATACCAAAGAAATGGACCATCACGATATGAGAAGTGAATACGAATATATTATCCATCAATTGTGTGTTCTTCCAATATAGCCAAACGATTGTAAAAACAATGAATCAAGAAAGACCAGGTACCACACTACATGTTTTTACGGTATGAAATTATCTCATATTACATGCTAAGGTCCTATATGGAAAGAAGATTCAATAGCTTTTTATATGCTTTGGTTATAAATTTTAGCTAATTGTTTTATGAATATGTATGGAGTATATGGACATTGAGTGATATGTGCTAACAAATTTGAAAGAGTCTGTTTATGAATATCATGTGTTATTGTGCCTCATTGTGCTAAGAGCACGAACTACTTAAGGTAGTGATACACATGTGATTTGATCAAGGGCTTTAAGCACTAAGTATGAGATACGAGATATAGGTATGATGCATTCAAATATGTAAGCACGAAGGGAGTGTTCTGATGGAACTTAGCCTTAGTGACCATCCTCCCAATAATGTTTAGTAATATGATATGTTGCATGTAATGATGATCTCTTCATAAAGCCTGCATATTTACTAAAAAAAAAAATTTTGTATAGATTTTGATAACCATTCTTTAGTCATGCATTGTTTTAGATATAATTGTAATATGAACTTTATGGCTTGTTTTTGTAGTTGTAAACATGACTTGGTAAGTGAATGCGGTAAAATGATTTTTGAAGACTAAATATATATTTTAATATTAAATTGGATGTTTTGAAAAAAACATGAGTCTTTATAAAAGAAAATCATTTTAACCGTCATACTATTATCTAACCATTGCTTGTGATATATATACCAAGTCATTTTTTTTTTTAAAGTAAGGAAACCATTATGCCTTCAAGGTATTTATAAAATTTGGAGAAAAACTGTCATGCATAGGCTTTTAAATACCTATATGCCTTGGACTCATGTTTGTAGTTATTTAGAATCATCTATTACTTAAGACCTTGAACCATAGGGAATGTTGTAGGAATATCATCTTGCTAGAGTTCCTTCACACATATTATGTTAAATAGATAACTTGGTTTGTATGAATTACCACCAAGATGACTAGTGTAGTTGAACCATTTTGTGGTTCATAAAGGTTTTACTTATTGTGAAACTAATGGGCATTGAATTATACTTTGTATGAGACTTGCTATGCTACTTCATGATATAGGCATAAGAATGTTGAGATAGTATATATTGTATATGTAATAATTGAGTAGGAGCTGCTATAATCCCATATTTTTATTGTGTAGGAGCTGCTATAATCCCATATTTTTTTTAGTTGCTTGAAGAACTCTTTTGAGCCCATGAGGATATGACCCCATGCGATGAGGATACGTGATGATCTTCCGTGACAGTCGGTCTATGATTCGCGATGCAATATGAAAGATGGACTACCACCACTTTCAGGATGAGATTTGAGTAGCAAAGAGAAAGATGTGTGACATTTATGACTCCTTTTGTAAAAGGATTGATAGTGAAAACCATGATTTACGTATTGAGAGAGATTGTGATTGGGAGAGACAAATAAGGATGAGAGAAAATAAAAAAGATGTAAGACCTTCAAAAGCCAAGTGGGAGATGTTGGGTTTATGTGGCCTTTAAAAGCTTTATGAGTGATTGTGATGAGACATTTGATACATTGGATCATGGACTCAATGAGAGTGTAGTCCCTCATAGACCATACCCTGCAAACGAGGTTTACAGATACCGAACAGTGCTTGACAGTTTAGACCAATCGGTTCAGAAAAACCAATATTGCCTGGGCATATAAAATAAACCGAGAAGGGTTTTAGTGAGTTATCCCTTGATGAGGTTGGAGTATATCCAGATGAGAGAGCCGAAGGACTGTGTGACCCTTGTGTATGATGGTGGTCTATGGAGACGGGGGCCAAATCCTCATCCATGTACCATCACACGGCATGCATATTGATAGACTATTCAGGAAAGTGGGCAAGCCACCTTTTAGGGTGAAGCGTATGCATGTACGAGAGATACCCCTATGCGTCATAGAGTTGTGGTCGCATCAGGTCTAGGTAACCTTGACTCGTCTTTAGGGGAGAACCTGAAATTCACAGATTGAGATTGCAATCCGTTGGCACATCTGTCAGACTTTGGTGGCCCACTAATGAGCTCCTACTTAGAGTGTGGGTCATGGGCAACGTTCGGTTGGCATGATAAAGTAAGCGTGGTTTGTAGTCTACAGTTACAGGTGGAGTGCCCCATTAACTATATGGATCATTTTCTCATCAAATTAATTTAATTATATTTCTTTTATGGTAGATATTATTTTAGAACTGTTATTTGAATTTTTATAAATCTCTGGATATTTTATTTATACAATTTGGGTTTATAAAATTAAAGATATTGATTTTTAATAATTTAAATATTCAATTAATGTTCAAAAATTATTTTTTATTATTTTTTAAATATATGAATTTTTATGCGGGCCTATTGTGCACCTGGGCCCACCATATTCTAGAAGGTGCACGCATAAGTTCGTATCTTGGGTGGTACGCCACTTTTTTTAGGGAAGGCTTATCCCATGGGTGGCACTTCCCTTTTTTATGAGATATTTTGATATATTTTATCTCAAATTGGTTTGCGTTGATAAAGTGGTTTATCCTTAAGAGATTTTAGTAAATATTTTAAAAAGCCTGTAATGCTTATGAAAATATATTTTGGATAAGTCACAATATTTTCTTGATTAATTTTTATTTGATGGAATAATGGTCAAAAGAAATGGGGGATAATGGCTCAACACATTCCGTAATATTGATTGTCCATCTATAGAATGAATTGCTTAGATCTCTCACCCCACAAGTCACCCTTGATCGACGGTTCCAATTTAATCTTGTGAAGCAAGCAATGGGAAGCCTAGACCCAATATTAAATCGCTCTTTCCTCTCTAATATTTTATCCGAAGAATCTTTCTCTCTCATACTGTATCCAACTCACTCACTCTCTTTTCCCTCTCACGTAACTCTTACTTTATCTCCTCCCTTTTTCTTTTTTTTTATCTCATACTCTCTCTCATCATACTTTATCAAAGAAGATAATGGGGGGCACGCCCCATTCTCTCTCTCTCCCGAAACATTATATAAAGGGGGCACACCCCTTTCTAAAAGAACTCATTTCTCTCTCTAGTTTTGGGCTTTGAAAAGAACTTAGAAAGGAGAAATTTTTATGCAAATTTTTTTTGGGATTGATCCTGAAGAGTTTTGAGTGAGCATAAAGGTTCCATTGAAGAGCTTGGCCGAAATTAGCGTTTCCGATTGAGATTGAACAAAAGCTGTCGATCCTGCACCATCGAATGGTGGTGACTTGGTGTGGGTGTAATATGTCCGGTTGAAGTCTCCGGTATTTTCTTTTTATTTTTTGCTTATTTAATTGCACAATCTTTATATTCTCAAGCACAAGATTGGTGGTTTTTTTCATTGATTAAAGAAAATTAGTTTAGTGACATTAAAGTTCTCAAGATCTTGTATTTTTAATGTTTTATTTTCTTTGAAGCAAGAGTTATTGTAATAAGACTAATTGCAAGTGATCTTTGTCAAAAGAGAAGAAAAGAAAAGGAGTGAGATGGAAAAAAAAAAGAATTCGCCTCAAGATCACATTGGTCGAACTTTCAGGCATGTGAAGTATAAAAACAAGGGATGTACCTTATTCAACCCATAGACAAGCACTTGGGAATAATATGAATAACTTTTTATTCGTACTCTCTATGCACTTGAGAATAATAGTGTCTTAATAAGGAACCGAAGACAAAAACATCCATTTAAAGGTCCTCAGATGGTTTCCAAAATTTCAACAAAAAAATCTGCCTAAGTAGTTAGTCCAAAATTTCAACAAAATTTACCATAAAGGGCTTTGAGATTTAAGATTAACATCTTAGACTGTCGTGCAACTTCCAAGGCTCTTTGTAGTACTCCAATATCCTGCAAAACAAGTATAAAGGAAAAAAATAGTGGTTAGGAAAATAGTATGGCCATAAGCATGGTTCTAAGACTCGTCTGAGGTCACTCGGACTCGGGTGAGCAACTCGGCCTCATCGTATAGGTGAGGCAGACAATTTTGGGCGAGTCTGTTGTACGACATGTTTATATTTGTATTAATACGTCAAATTTTAGTCATGTTTATTTGAAGGGTTCTGTGGATTGCATCAGTGCATAAGTCCTAGCTTGATTATGGTTCGAATTCTGCTAGTTGATATTGTTTTTTCGAAGACTTCGACTTTTTTTTACATGATAGAAGTTCAACATCGTTTTTTTTTACACGATAGAAGTTCAACATCGTTTTTCAAAGACTGTCTTTTTCTTACATGATAGAAGTTCTTAAATACGTCAAGTTTTAATCATAAGTCCTAACTTGATTAAGGTTTTAATCCCGCTAGTTGACATTGTTTTTTTAAAAGACCTGTTTGTTTTTTCACATGATGGAAGTTCAACATCGTTTTTTCACAGATATGATAGAAGTTCAAAAAAAAATGCAGGCCCTAATAATGAACCGTGAATCTCATGAAGTCCAATGTCACGTATTATAACCAATGCCCAATTATGTGATTGTAAAACACTGCTCACTATTTATTTTCATTTCCATTAATAAAAAATAATAATA